CCTATAATTCGGTAAGGCAGCTGTTGCGCTGCATTATGGGATTTGTAGTTTGGGTGTTATCGGCGCTTCATATCGCCGGGCCATTAAAAAAAAGATATATAAAATGATCTTGCGGGCTGGGTATAATTTGTATCATGGGTCGGATGTGGCCCGCGGGCCATGAGTTTGACACGTGCTGTACAGTGATACAGCACCTGTGTGTTTTCTCTTCATCAATCATGTCTACTAATCATGGTAGTCCTAGTCTTGATTCGAATTTGACCAAGGTGGACCCAAACACAACACTGTTTTTCATATCTAAATGATAATTAGCTACAGCCTTTCTATATTGCGTATGCCACAAATATGAAGTTGTATATCCTGCTATTATTTGATTTATATTCTGAGAAATTTTATGCATGTTAATTTAGTGCCTTGGATGGCAACACAAAGAATGTGGCATCCCTGAATTCAGGCCTTTTAATTTGTTCAACTGTGTCAGCAGCTTTATTTCTGTTCCTCGAGTTATAATCTGTATGAAATGGGTAATGGAAAATATGTGATGTGTAAACAGTCTGTGATGTAGGCTAGCCAGACTAAGGCCACTTGTTAATGCTGCTGTTTATCACGCGTTGTACTGCCATGTGGCATTTATTTGTTGCTGGGGGAACTACACTGAACAGATTCCGAACTCTGGGGAGGATAAACGGTAAAATGCCAAGTGCAACCAGGAATGTAAGCTTCTGGGCGGCTGCCAGCAGGGTAGGAATGTGCAGCTGGTGGTCTATTTCCTGTGACTCAGCACCCAGCCAGCCCACACCCTGTTCTTACTGCAGCCTGTGTATTGGTGGAATGGCATGTTAGTCATTTTAGGTTAGCATTTTTTCTGAAACTCTTCAGTAATCAGATGTGATGATTTTTATATTCCCCCCCAAACTTAGAATAATTTTTCTGGTTTATAGGAATTACATTCCTGAGATTGGGATTTACAAAGATGTTTATGTGACAAATATATGTTTATCTTAATCTTTTTTATAATTTTTTTGAGGATTCTTTGTTAATTCTATAGTGGGTGACCATCCATATGCTATATGAAGGACGTGAAGGTAATTTTTTTTGGAATGTGAGCCTTTCCGTTCCGCCATTTGTTACTCTACTGTGATGACTGAAACATTTTTAGTTATTTTTAACACTTCAGATGTCCATTGTTATAGTTTCAGTTGTAGCTGGGCAACGTTGCTCAAAAAGTTGCACTGTGTATCATCACTAAGCAAAAGTCCGTTTAAACTGCGCTACCTTAAATCTGATAATACAGTCAAAATTTACCCAGCTAAGCAAAAATCCGACTTTTTGGTACAAGCTCCTGCTCTGGAGTATACCCCTTAAATTTGACAATGTTCAATACAATTATTTTTGTTTGAGTAGAAGTTTCATACTTCGTGCTAAAAGTAGCATGGGCTGTATGCAGTTCTCATAACACAAGTTAGCTAGGTATCTTGGTATCATCATCTTTGAAGTAGCGGCTCATGGAAGAGTTTAAATCTGTCACTTTATATGCTTGTGATTAGAGATGTACTAATTGTATTGGCCAACTATTAGTATTGACCGATACAAAAACAATCGGCCATTGGCCGATTGTTAAAAATTGTTAAAAAAATGAGCCGATATTTACCACTGATAAATGCCATAAAAATGGATGCCCATATTACTTTGCACACCTGTGTACTAAACAATTAGAATAATGTCTGCTGTGTGGAATTACAGTAAAACCTTGGAACTTGGGACGGAGTGGTGGCTCTGAGGCTAGGGATCTGTGCCAGCAACTAGAAGCTTGCTGGTTCAAATCCCATGAATGCCCAGAATGATTCTACTCCGTTGGCCCCTTGAGCAGGACCCTTAACCTGCAATTGCTTCGTCCTGGGTATGACATTAATCTACATCCAGCCCTATAAGGAGGTCCTCCAACTTACAGAAAACAACTAGAGGGTTGGTGGCAGCATTAGCACTCCAGCCACTGGAAAAAACCTCACACTGGTCCATTCGGACTAGTGTGGTGCTGAGGTATCACCAGATAACATGACTGCACTCAGGTTCTCATCCTTGAGGTGCTTTGTCATGTGGTGGATGCAGAAAACGTACTTCTCCCTTGGAAATCGAACGACTCTTAACTCGACCAACTCAGACATCGAACGGGTCTGTTGAATATTTTTAGACTTGTACCTCAACCTAAATCTTAGAACTTGACCGTTCCTGTTAAAACTTGTATGGGTTGCCACATATTCAACTCTACCAATTCGGCCCTCGAACAGGTTAGTCAAGAAGAATTTAACTGTAACTTGCCCCAAACCTTGGAACTGGACAAAACAAAACCAGACCCACTAAAACTTGTATGGATCGAGACACATCTCTGATGGACTGATACAAAGGCAAACGGACCTACTGGGATCCTGATGCCCTATGAATCGCTCCCAGTCTCGCAGTACCTCTCGACCGAGGTGTGCTTTATCTACAGTCCATTTAGTGGTAACAGTTGGTATCACTGTCAGTTTTCAAAATTATTAGCTATTGGTATCACCCAGAAATTTCGTTATTGGTGCATTACTACTCATGATGTTGGAGAAGTCCGTTGTTCTTCTGTTTTGGTAGGAAGATTTCTCATAATTGAGGCACCCGTGCCTTTGGTAGAGGCAAATTTGGTTTATTATTCACACATGAATTGTGCTTTTTTAAAAATTCAAACTTGAATGAAAAGTGGCTCGAGTCACTGTAGTATAAATGTATCGGTATTTATTCTGGTAAAGCATATTTCTGCTTAGTTTGGTATTAAATTCAACTTGAACTGCTATTAAAAATGTATTAAGGAGTTTTAAATTTTAGATCAGGATTTTTGCACACACTCTGCTAAAGTTTGTTTTAGTTAGCTAATTGGTTACAAAAGATCAATTAAGTCTTTAATTCAAGATCTAGTCATTAAATTGAGATAGACTGAGACATATAATTAACAATGAAGTGAGATACAGAAAGTGCTGAGATGGTATGCAGGCTTGATTTCATAATTGGCGATTGCTGGTTTGTCCTGTCTTTATAATAATTCTGTGCACTTGTGTGTACTAGTGCACTTGTACCTGGGCATTCATTGGAAGCTAAGCCTAGCCACAATTATGCCTAGCCAACTCCTAAACAGCCTGTATGTTTATAATGTGCTATTTGCCTTACTTGTACTTTGGACAAAAAGCATATGCTAAATACACATAAACGTATATGTAGTGCTGTATTATGATTCTTATACCTCTGAAATGTATACCGTGGATGCAATTGCAACCATGTGAGATAAAATATTGCCATATAGGCCACCACTATCCATTCATCCATCCATCTGTTATTGTGTCCGCTTAATCCCCACTGGGGTCGCAGGGGGCCCAGAGGCTATCCCGGGAACCAACCCTGGGCAGGTGGCAACACACCGCAGTAGGCCACCACTAGTTGGGACAAAAAGTAATGTTAGCTAGTTAGTAATATTAACTAGACCGCAAGCATCTAAACTGTCCCTACCCCATCCCAACATGTAACCAACATGGGCAACATTACGTTGATTAAAGGCTGTGAATGTTGGTTTTGGTTAATTTTTGATTAATTGTCCAGCCCTATCATAAGCTGTAGCGAGTGTGCAAAACAGTCCAAGCTAGCGACTCCCAAATCATCCATTGCATTTTTCGTATTATTTGCATTGTCTTGCACAATTGTGTGCGCTTTGTCTAGTGGGATTTTCCATTTATCCAGCATGGCTCTGATGGCATCTGAAACTGAAGTGCTGGTGTGTCATCCACAAATTTCTTTAACTTGTAGCACCACTCTGAAAGTCATAGCTTTGCGGGTTCATCCAGTGTAGTTAATACGAAAAATGCAATGGATGATTTGGGAGTCGCTAGCTTGGACTGTTTTGCACACTCGCTACAGCTTATGA